ACATACATGATGGATGGACCTGGGGAAAGAGAGTGTCCTCCTGGAGCGTCAGAGTTTTCATCTTTAAAAATAGTCCTTCCTCCTCATGATCTCACCACAGAAACTTTTGGAGCTATATGGTAGGGAATGTGACAGTTCTTTAAAAGGAAGTATGCAAAATCCACACAAGGCAGTAACATTGTAATATCACTGTTTATAACTGTGGCTCCAGGGACCCAGCCATGAGGCTACCATCTTGCTCCATCTCCCTGGGCCATTGGTCTGGGAACGGAAGAATGCAAGGCACTGGAGAGGAAAGGGTCCACACTGCCCAGGAGCCTGGCGGGATCACTCTGGAAACACACTCAACCTTGGGAGAAACACACAGCGAAAAATCCCACCACTCCCATTGCCCTTTCCTTTCTCTAAGCGTTTCCAACAGACAGCAACATGTACACAATTCTAAGGCTTCATCAGGTAGAAGGGGGTTCTGGTGTGGCCCTCAGCTAGCTCTCCGCAGTGTGCATGAACAGCAAGGTCCCCCAACAAAGGGCACCAGGCATTCATTCCCTTATAGATTCTATTTTCAGGTTACGTGCAATTACAGGAGAGTTGCTAATCACCACCAAGACGGGGCCGTCCCGGAAGCATTCTGAGAAAGACACGCTGGTTCTGTGAGCTCTGAAGCACCCTTAGTCTGTCCTGCCTGGAGGATCAGTGTGGCCGGAGGATGAGAAAGACAAAAGAGGAAAGACGGCTGAACCAGTCATTCCTGCCGTGGTCAAGTTGTCCTTTCTTGGAGGGAGGAGGAAGACGGGAGGGAGCTAAGAGGCTGCAAGACAACAAGGAGACCCCGCAAAGAGCTTCAGAGGGGCCACGAAGAATGATCTCAAGCAGTATTAGCTGCTCCATGGCATGCTACTGTCCCCGTTGGGTGTTCCCTGCACTCTGTACCCCTCAAGCCCTAACACCATCAGAACAGGAGGAAGGGTGCATTTGCTGTCTCTCTCTTCCTACCCATCTTCCCCTCTCCATTTCCTTTTTTTTTTTTTTTTTTTTTTTTTTGCTGCTGGGGCTGCAATCTGCCAGTGTGACCCCTGGTGGCTCTGCAGCCAGGAGGGTGAGGAGAGTGGCCCTCATATGAAGCCACAACCCCAATGAAAGAGGCTATCCTGAATCCGGGAGTCACACGGTTGTTGAGTATCAGTCCCTGAGATGTGGCACCGTGGCGTGTCACCTCATCACCACCATCGTCATTCTATGGTAACGTGTGTGTGCCACTGTGTGCCAGGGACATAAACAGGCACATTCAATATCCTGCTTGGACCCTTCCCCCGCCCGCCCTCCCCTCCTCCTACTGGTCTCCCTGTTGCTCTCAGCTTCCCTGTAAAGAAGTCTTTTTCACACTGAGTTGGATCACAGCATGCTTTGCTCAAAACCCTGCCTGGCTCCCAGGTCCCTCAGAGGGAAGGCCCAAGGCCTCCGGGCCTGACCTGGTCTGGTGGTCACCGCCCCCTCAGCACTCAGCGCTCACTGAGCTTGATTCTCAAGCACACTATATACTCGCACCTGCTTTGGGCCTTCATGTAACTGCTCCATCTGTTTCAAAGGCTCCAAAACATCCTCCTGCAAGTCTGTGCTCAAATGTCGCCTTCTCCGTTCAGCCCTGCAAACTGCCCTCCACCTCTCTCCCTGCGTTGCACACTGGAGCTGCCTTTCCTGCCTCTGTCTTTTTTTTTTTTTTTTCCTCCATAACACTATCACCTCCTTACATACTAGAAAATTTACATACTTACTATTTTTTACTGTTTAGCCTGCCCCACCTTGACAGCCAGTGTGGCTGCAGGACAGGAAAGGCAAAAGAACAATGATGGCTGACCCAATGCTTCCCGTCTTTCCTGGCCCCATGATATGGTTTGGCTCTGTCCCTATCCAAATCTCATCTTGAATTGTAGCTCCTATAATTCCCAGTGTTGTGGGAGAGACCTGGTGGGAGATAATTGAATCATGGGGACAGTTTTCCACATCCTGTTCTCATGGTAGTGAATAAGCCTCACGAGATCTGATGGTTTTATAAGGGGAAATCCCTTTTGCTTGGTTCTCATTCTCTATTGCCTGCCACCATGTAAGACGTGCCTTTTGCCTTCTGCCGTGATTGTGAGGCCTCCCCAGCCATGTGGAAACGTGAGTCCATTAAACCTCTTTTTCTTTATAAATTACCCATTCTCAGGTATGTCTGTATCAGCAGCATGGAAATGGACTCATATACCCCATTAGAAGTCAAGCTCCATGCCAGCAGGATGGAGCCTGTTTTGTTCAGTGCCTGTTCTCTGCCTAGAGCAGTCCCAGTGAACAGTGAGTGTCCTGTAAATATCTATTAGGTGAGTGAATGAATGAATGAACTGATGAACAAGTGAAGGGTGGAAATGCTGCCACTTACAGGGAGGAGGCTATGCATCTTATGGAATGAGCTGGTCTTCAGGATGGGGTTCCCTGGGGAGGGGGGGAGAGGGCTGGCAAAGGCAGAAGGTGCTGCTTCCAGAAAGGCAGGCCTGCAGTTTGCCTGGAAATCCCCTTGGCATCACTCATCAACCCCCACCCCAATACACATCCAAACCCAAACAGTGGCTGAAGAGTAACTTCAACCATAGACTCTCTTTCCAGGCCCACGCTCCCACTGGTGAGTGCATGCCGTCATCTGGGCCCCTACTGCGTGCTCCTTGGATCCCAGGATGACCAGTAAAGAAAGGATGGTGGGGAATGAAAGAGATCCCCTCTTACCCTCATCCCACTCTCAATGCACTAGCTGGGAAGGCAGAGCCAGCACTGCAGGTGAAGCTCTGAAGGTGAGATGGTGGGCAGGTAAAACAGCTGCCAGTCCCATGGACCCATGGCTGTGGGTTTTTAAGCAATGAGGTACACAGATGGTGACACAGGGAGGGGGTGTGCTGAGCACGGTGGCAGGGTGCAGTCAAGTCCAGTCTTGGGGTGAGATACAGACCAGGTGAGCTGGGCTGAAAGGATCCAAATGTGAGTGGGAAGTGATGGGAAGTGAGGTGGAGTGTCCAGTGAGATTTGGTTGCTCGGACAATAAACAGAGCCACGATGGTTTTTTTCTAATAAGAAAATGCCATGTCCAATGCTGGATTTCAGAAAGAGGCTTAGGGAAGAAACCAATAGGATTACTTTGGGGAGGAAAGACTTGGAGTCCAAAGGCTGGGGCCCCTTGTGGTTATCCCAGCTTGCTCTATGAAAGCCAATACCAGAGGGGTGGCTGGGAGAAGGGAGGGGAAGGATCAAATGGAAAATTGCTGTGGAGTCATTGTCAGGACTTAGTATTCTAGTGGGTGGGGGAGTTAAAACCAATGTCCACCTTCCTTCTACTTGAGCTGCGTGGAATAAGATAAAGATAAATAAGGAAGGGAACGAATAGGCATCCACTATGACCTAGACTTTGGATTTGGTTATTTCATTCAATTCTCAACCTCCCCTGAGGACCGGGTATTAGCATCAGCATCTCACAGATGAGGAAATTGAGGCTTTGTAATTTACCCAAGATCATATCCAGAGCTAGGGAGACTGTAAAACACAGAAAAAAAAACCACTGACATTCATTGTAAATGCATAATACATCCCAGGCACTGAACTGTGTATTCTCCCATTTCACTTCAAAACATGGAAGAGATTATTTTTATTATCTCCATTTTATAAATGTGGAAAGCATAGTTCAGAAAAGTGAAGGTCACCAGCCCCAGGTCACAAAGCAAAGACGCAGTGGAAATGGGATTTGAACCCAGGGCATCCGGGTCTACACTCTACCGCTATACTAGACTGATAGTGACAAATTTGCAACATAATCTATCTAGTTCCAAAAATGTGTTTGCATTGTACAGCAACTCAAGCAGTATTAGCTGCTCCATGGCGTAATGTCCCCATTGGGTGTTCCCTGCACTCTGTAACCCTCATGCCCTGACACCATCAGAACAGAAGGAAGGGTGCATTTGCTCTCTCTCCTACCCCTTTTCCCCACTCCATTTCATTTCCTTTGTTGTTGTTGTTGTTGTTGTTGTTGTTGTTGTTGTTGCTGCTGCTGCTGCTGCTGCTGCTGGGCCTGCAATCTGCCAGTATGACCCCTGGTGGCTCTGTAGGCAGCAGGGACAACCCTCTCCCAGGCTTCATACTACTTGAGATGATTTGCTTCCAATCAAATCTGACCATGTTCTGAGCTTCCAGCTTAGTACTTACGACTGAGACTTACAACCAGTGCTGTAACCGCTGTGGATGGTGGAATCTAGACAACCCTGGGCAAACCCAGCCCTTGCAGTAGGAGAGCGGCCCCTTGTTCCACATCCTGTTTTATTGGGAGCAGACTTCAGTTGGCAGCATGCCAGAAAGCCCTGATATCCCATTTAACCCCATGGACAGTCTCTGTGTTTCTGAAGGCCAGCAGGTGCAATCCACCTGTTTATCTCCTGGACCCGCAGGCTTTGAGTCACCTGCCTCATGTTCTCCCTGCAAACTGCAAGACCTCTGTGCCCTGCAGTGGACTCAGTGTGCTCAGGGCAGGTAGCAGGACCTGTTGCATGGTGCCCCGGGGAGCTGGGAAAATTCACAGTCACTCGAAACAGCAATAGATCCCAGCAACAGTCCAGGCCTGGCTTCCTCACTCGTTAACTGTGTGACCTTGGGCAAGTGACTGAACTTCAGTCTCCCCATCTGTAGGTTGGGCATAACAGGACTTGACGGCTAGAGTTGTAAGAGGTGAAAATGAGTTGATTCAAGTAAAAGCCAGGAACACAGAGCCTGGCCTGAATTAATTGTGATGACTGTTTGTACTTATTAGCCCATGTCCCTGGGTCTCTCCGATGGCTAACTGCAAAGCTCCTGCCTGCCAACTGCTGCTCTGAGCTGGGGGCTTTAGGGATGTCTGGGCAAAGAGTTGCACTGAAGAAGGAGCAAAACCTCGAAGTAAGAAGAGCCACAGGGAGGCAGCTGTACTATGACTGCCAAGTGCAACTCACCTCTTTCTTGTCCTTTCCTGGTACAAAGCACCCACCGAGTCAGCCAGAAACCTCTGATTCCGCCTAGAAAAATAGGAGAAGAGTTACACCAGGAAACAAGATAACGAAACTCATCTTGAAGCTTAAATGTGGACGGAGTGGTTCCTCAGTACCAGACAGCTCCCCACAAGCACATAGGAGTTTAATAGCTGTTTATTCTTCCATATAGACTAAAACTACATTCATCAGAAAAAGGGGAGTAATTCATTTCCTATGCCAATTATGGATACGGCAAACTGAAGAATATTTTCAAAGAAATACAGTTTATTATGATCACAAACTTGACCTAGAATAAACTACGATGTCAATGGATATTTACACTGGATAGTAATTTTTTCAAGTTATAAAAATACTTAAGTTTACAATGGACATTTACTACAAAACAATCTAATGCCACAGTGCCAAGTTGTTCTGTTTTTATTGGGTCTTTTACTCCTATGATCCTATTTCTGAATTTTTATATGTTCTAATTTATTATATGTCTGAATTCACTCAATGGGATGACATATGAGGAGCGTCTAGTACCATGTCTGGTCCCTGTTAAGCACTCAATAAACATCAGCTATACTATTATTAATTATACGTTCCTGTGTGGGTTTCTCTTTCATTCCACCCATGTAATTCCTGAACAAACATACACAGATATCAGCATAGTTTCTGCTGCTAAAATAGATATTCAATCTTTAAACCCAACCTCTGTTCAATCTAATTCCGACACCAGGAAGAGTAGTATTTCAAAAGGTGTTTAAAGATAATAGCCCCATTCTAACTTTCCCCATCATTAGGCTCAAAGAAATCACTCTAGACCCTTAGGTTGACAAATGAAAACAGAGAGAAGAAAGAAAAAAAGGAAAAAGAATACCATCAGATTTGAAACAGAAAACTTGTAACCTTCACACACAAGAGAAAGGATTGTCTCTGGCTGGTGTTTGTTCTTCTGCTGGGTGTACATTATACATTATCACTCCGGTAGTTTCTGAGTTACTGAGGACAGGGCTGAGCTGGTACCCTGCGGCCAACTCCATCAACCAGCACCTACCACCAGATCAGATTGGAGGTCCCCCTGGGCTCCGGCACCCCCAACCCCCACAGCAGCAATACATGTTTGCTGGGCCTGCCTCCCACTATCACACCCATGAACTTAACCCAGGACCAACCTCGAATGCATAGGCTCTTGAATGCAGGGCAAAGGAGGTTGACAGTTTTAGCCCTGATGAATCATGCAACACTTGGGACCTAACTGGCCAATGCTGGACCTACCCTGCAAATGCTAGAAAACTCACCAAAACAGAGCAAGCAAAACTTCACAAGACCCACCAACTCCAACCCTGGCATCTGGAATGGGTTGCTGTTTCTACTTTATACAAAGCCACCCCCATATGCAACCCATTTTCAGTTTGTTATTAGGTGGAAAGCATCCAATAAACTCATTCAAGCTAAAGCCCACCTGAATGGATGTAGCTTCAGTGTTACCCCTCCATGGGGGGTGCACACTTTATCCTGACTCAGTCTTGACTCTTCACCCTGTCCCCGTGAAGCCTCAATTCTGCCAATGTAATAATCGCAGGGATTGGGGAGAGAGAGTAGTGGGACACTGGAGAGGGATCCTTTTGAAATCCTACAGTGCGGAATAGATGAAAGAGGGGAGGCAGAGGCTTACAACCGAGGCTCTCAGACCTGGCTACTCATGGCAATTCCTGCCCCCTCCCCTGGACAGCTGGAAAATCATTCTGAAGCCTGAGCCCCACCCCAGAGGTTCTGATTGCTATAGGTGAGGCCTGGGCACTAGGATTTTTTTTTTTTTCTTTTTTAAGTTCCCCAGGTAAGTTTAATAAGTAGCAGATTCTGAGGATCATCTGGCCGTCTTGCTGAAATTTTGCATTCGGGGGGTCTGGGGTGGCAGCCTGAGACTCTGCCTTCCTAAACTTCTCCTGGATAAACCCAGCGCTGGGGGTCCTCAGAACATTCTGAGCTGCAAGGACTTAGAGGTATCCCCTCTTGCCCCTCCTATGCCCCTGAGGAACCTCAGGCAAGCTGACCACACCCCTACCTCCAGCCACAGCTTTCTCCTCTGTGTTGGAGAACACCACTTTTCCAGGAGGCCCCAGAGACGTGCCCCGTTGACTTCTCAAGTGCCAACTGGGTAAGAGACATTACTCATGTCCCAAGAGACAGCTGCCCCCTTCCCCCTTTCCTGTAATCCTGTTCCAAGCAGTCCAGCTTGTACCCTGAAGTGCACCTGGATCACTGCATCCAACACAATGGTTTGTTTCTGCTCTGGTCCTTAAAGGGAGTAGGGGTCTCTTGCCTGCTGGCTTTTTGCATCGGCAGGTTGACCAGGGCCACCAAGACGCAGGGCCGCCCAGGGAGCCTGACTCTGTCCGGGGCCCACTGGCCTTGGCATCTGCCCTGTGAAGCTCTTCCGTGACTTCACACACACCTCCCCACCACGTAGCACTGCCCTTACTAAGTCCTTGCCGCGGACGGCGGTGGGACAGGGAGTGGATGGCACTCCCTCGGAAAGAGGCCAACAGCAGCACGCCACACCCGACTCCAAACCTCTGAGGGAGGCCACAGACTGCAACTGGCTACCCACAACCTGCCCCCAAGGGTCCCTCCCTGCCTCCCGCACCCCCCGCCCCACCCCTCCCAGTTCCTTCCAGACATTCCCAGGGATGCCTGGAGCCATACACCACCTAGTGGTTCCCAGCTCAACACCAGCAACAAGACACCTCCAACCAAGAGGGAAGAGCCCTCTCCTCCAGGACACCTTAGACTGAGGAACCGGGAAACAAAAGGCCCAGCAGGTGAGGCCACAAGGAGACATTAGGCTGGAATACGTCCAGTCCCACAAACTCGCCACCTTCTCCAAAAAGTGCACCAGGAACGCAGGAGGCCATGCTGGAAAAGGCTGCCACACGCTACAGGAGAAGACCAGGGTGGAAAGGGAAAAATACCTGGAACGGGAATGGGATGTCAACACTTTATGAGCTAGAGCCCCCTCTTTGGCCAGAATAAGAATTGCAGGTTGGGGGAATTCTTGGATATTCGGGATGGGTCCAAACTCAAAGTGGAGTGATTTCTCAACAAAACAGGCCAAGTAGTCAAGAAATCAAACCACTGGGTCCAATTTCTAGAAACCTACCCAAGGCCAACACATCTACTGGACTCCCAATACTTTTAGGGGGCCCAAGAAAATGTTCTAATTCCTTTTAAAACCAGAATGAATAAAACGACAGGAATACGAATGCCTAGATAACAACGAATCCAGCCTGACTTCTATTCATCCTTGTATCACTGTAATTGTAAAATACAATATTTGTTTATTTATTTATTTATTTATTTTTGAGATGGAGTCTCGCTCTGTCCCCTAGGCTGCAGTGCAATGGCGTGATCTCGGCTCACTGCAACCTCTGCTTCCCAGGTTCAAGTGAGTCTCCTGCCTCAGCCTCCCAAGCAGCTGGCACGAGCCACCACACCTGGTTAAGTTTTGTATTTTTAGTAGAAACGGGGTTTCACTAGGTTGACCAGGCTGGTCTCAAACTCCTGATCTCATGTGATCCACCTGACTTGGCCTCTCAGAGTGTTGGGATTACAGGCGTGAGCCGCTGCGCCCAGCCGTAAAATACAATGGTTTTGTTTTTGTTTTTGTTTGAGACGGAGTCTTGATCTGTCGCCCAGGTTGGAGTGCAGTGGCGCGATCTGGGCTCACCGCAAGCTCTGCCTCCCAGGTTCACGCCATTATCCTATCTCAGCCTCCCGAGTAGCTGGGACTACAGGCGCCCGCCACCACGCCTGGCTAAGTTTTTGTGTTTATAGTAGTAGAGACGGGGTTTCACCGTGTTAGCCAGGATGGTCTCGATCTCCTGACCTCGTGATCCACCCGCCTCGGCCTCCCAAAGTGCTGGGATTACAAGCGTGAGCCATCGCACCTGGCCCGTAAAATACAATTTTTAATGTTTTATTTTTATGGAGGAAGGGGCCTAGGAAGACAAAAGTGCCAAAGATCATGAACATCATCATGTGGTTCTGAATTTACCTACTTTTTTTTCCAGTCTCCAAACTTGTCAGCCTTTACTGAAACCCCTTGTTGAATGCTCTTTCTCAGAGACCCCCACTTGAGCCAGGGGACCCACCCCCACCTGCCTGCCATAGGTTCATCCTTTTTACTCCGGGTTCTATTGAAAGTTTTCTGACCCACTCCAGGCAAGTTCATCCCAGGCCCCGGCACCCTGGGCCTGTTTCTGGACAGGCAGAAGCTCCAACAGCTGCCACCCCCGCCTGCGTGTGAGAAGTGCAGACTGGCAGGATGGAGCAGCAACTCTGAAGGCCAAACACACACACTCAGCCCCCTGCAGCATAAACACGGAGCATACATCACACCCAGGCCTATAAAAGATAATTATACAATCTGATCTGGCAAATTAGTGCCACAGAATGTCTAATTCTCACAATGAATCCCAGGGTTGGATCGGCAGGAAAAATTAACCTGGATCTTTATTGGGATTTGCCCCCAGGTCAGGATTAGGGTTTATTTATCTCCTTTATTTTCCTGTTGCAGGAGGGTGGAAGGCCTTCTCTCCTGCCCGCCCCTCCCCACCGCATCCAGGCTTGGCTTTTTGATAAGCAGGCTGCCCGGTGATCTTTCCCACACACTACCTGACCCAGCTCAGCTAAAATCAAAGAAAGCACCAACTAGGAGATATGTGTGATGTTTTTTTTTTTTATAAGGAAGAGAAGTTCAGGTATCCCATATCAAGGGATTCACTAGTTGGAACAAACTCAATACAAGGTAAACAAAAGAATGAACATTTCCAGATGGCAATGTACCTCCTAATTATTCTGGACCGGCTCTGAAATGTTTACTTGTAGAACACTCACATATACACATTTCTCCAAACACCTTTTTCTTTCTTTCTCTCTTTCATTTGCTCTTCCTTTCCAAGGAGTCTTTCCAGAGGAGATAGTGATTAACAGGAGTCGGTGCTCATCTCGTATGCTCATTAAAGAGCTAGATCACCAAA